AATGAGATTTTCATAGGAAATATGATCTCCAAGTGGCGCGCCAAAATACCACGCCGCACTTGCAAAGCGATGGGCGGAGCGTCGGTGGGGGGAGGCGGGAATCAAAGTACGCAAACACCGAGTCCCACTTTTTTTATTCCGACAATAAAAGAAAACACAAAAGGGTTCTCGCTTAAGTTTTTTCACTTTTTCAAAATATATCAGTAGGTGTTTACCACTCGTATCGGGGACTGAATTAGTTGTCTACAGTAATCTACAGTAACCTACAGTAATCAAACACCGCTTCATCAAATTTCAGGCAAAAAATTCTGAAAAATCGACGAAGAGCAGTGAAAATCGAGAAAATGAAGTTCAGAAAATAACATTTTTTTACATTACGGTAGTTGTCGTTGTGGGACCTTCGCTCACTAGCATTTCTCTTCCACAGCTTCTTTTAACAAACTTTCTTCAACTTCAGGATATTACCAAAAAAGTGTTCTACTACACAAAATTCTCACTTCTTGGAGACTGCGCTGGAATCCCTGAAACTCTTCCGGAGCATCCAACTCAACCGATTGAATCCTATATCAGCCGTCTCAAAAAAACGTTTTCCACTGAGATTCTCGCAACGAATCCACGCCCTCGGCCCGTTGATTACGATCGATTCGCCGACGATTTTCTATTCAAAAAAGTTCGAGTACAGCTGTGCGAGAAGAATGGGGAGATTTTGAGTGCTGGTGAGTCAGCAGTTGAAGCAGAAAAGGGGGCGGAGCTTGGGTCCGGTAGCGAAAACATTAAAGGATCATGATTTTTTCGTAATCATTTACTAACCTATTTTTTTCGATTTTTCTATAAGCTTCATTGTTTTCGAGCGATTTTCCGGAATTTTTGTCAAAAAAGGTCAAAATCGATCAAGAAAAAACATGCTCCTTTGAGGCTTACCGAACATAAGCTCCGCTCACACTCGAAATTTAGGCCACAACGCGCATAGAAATTAGAAAAATTATCTAAATTTTCAGCTGAATTCTCAAAATATCTTTCCGACCGATATCAAACTGCTGTAAGCTTTACGGACCATGCAGTTTCACAAAACGACTTTTCCAACTATCAAACAGTTGTGATCATTTCGGTGCAAGCCGACTTCCCGAACGGAGTCATCATGAGGGATAATTACACCTTTCGAGTGGAAGAGGTATTCTTAAAATGCTAAAACAAGGAAAAATATATATAAATTTTCCAGAAAAGAAACAAAGGAGACGAATTGGGATGGGTTGATTGGTGGACCGCCTATGTGATTGTTGCATGTCCCATCAACTTGACGCCGTAAGTTTTTTCTCCTTTTATGAATAAAATGTCTGAAAATCTAATAGAAATTTGTCAGAAAAAAATATACAAAATTTTTTATACTACGAATTTCGAAAAAAAAAACTGTGAAATTTTAGAACCGTTGATCCTCAAGCACTCAAAGACGAGTTCGTTGGTCAAGTGTGCGGATCCCTCTCCCCGATGATCAACGATGAACCATCCGTCGAGTCAAGAACCCCATTTTTGAGTCATATGATGAAAGAAGAGCATCAAGGATTCTGGGCGATTATATGTGGAACTGGAAACGGACCAAAGAATTATAGTAAGCTCAAAAGTCGCTCCTTGAATCGTTTTCCCGTTTTCAGACTACTTCTCAGAGCAATTCCTTCCTAGCTGGCCTTCCAGCTACGCGTCGTCAGAGCTGAAGAAATCTGAAGTATTGGATAACACGAACTTCTCATTCAAATGTATCCTAAAACTTAAAAAAGTGGATACAACTATCTCAAAAATGGATTTTCAAATGAGAGCGTACTATGAATTGAATCAATGGCTTGTCAAGGAAGTTCGAGTCGGATGTGAATACTAGTTCTGTGTCATTTTTTGTAAATTGAATATAAACTTTGAAAGCGAGAGCAAATTTGAATCTAATTGTAAACATAACAAAATGACAAGAAACAACAAAAAAAATCATGCAAAAAATGTTTAGGCTCCTCCACAGGCTCCTCCTCCATCATCTCTTATTTAACCTCTTTCAGTAATTCTTGAAACTCATCAGCTGAGGATTTTGTGTTGCAGACAATTTGGAGGATATCCAGCTCCTGCTTGGAAAATACTCGTCGAGCTCGGCATCGTTTTAAGGAGCATCTTGAAAAATAATTTTACTATTATTCTGGTCCAATTTCAAGGCGCGTTGCGGCCGAGAAGGGGGCGGAGCTTAGGTCCAGAATTTTTCTTTTTGCAATTTTTCGATTTTATTGATTTTGAACTTGTTCAACGAAAATTGGAAAAATAACGAAAAATCGAATAAAAACAATAAATTTTTTTTCGATTTTTACTGTTTTTCCGAGACAAAAAATAGGAAAATTCGCATAAAAACAGCTAATATCAAAAGCCAGAAAACAATTCAAATTATACATGATTCTTCAAGGATTCCGCTATCGGACCTAAGCTCCGCAAACAATTTCCGGCACAAACCGATAATGAAAACGTCCTGATTTCGAGCTGCTTCGGTATATTTCCAAACTCATTTTCGAACAATCACAGCGCATGCAAGGAATTTTGGACGGAATACCAATGGGAAGAGGCTCAAAACATCCGATTCGTCGGCGTTCCGTTTCAGTTAGCGCTCGTTTTCGGCGGACTTGACAATTTTCATTGGAACATCTGGAAATATTTGACTATTTGAAACAGTTTCTTATGATCGCAATACCCAAAAGTTGTAGACTCGTCTGCCAATAAGACAATATCGCTTCCACATGTTGGACATGGTACTTGAAGCTCTATTTCACCAGACACTTTCAAAAGCTCGTGGAGCAGCCGGGTTGGACTCTTTGGAAGCTGTATTTCAGTATAATCGTTCTGAAAAAGGACTCAAAAATGTTAAATATGTATATTCTACTATATTGGTCACCTCAACTCTCTCTAACTTCTCAAATACCGACACATTTCTCTCATGCATCGGATGAATCCTATTCTCCTTCGGTATATAAATATCTCGATTTTTCATAATCTCTATTCGAAATTCTATGCTCAACATGTTATCAACAGCGTATCGCTTCGCTTCCGCCCATGTAAAACTACGAGGTATTTCGAATTTCGATATCGTGATCACATTCTTCCAATCGCTTCTGATTTTCGAGTCTTTTACTAAACAGAACCGAAATTCTCGAACTTCTGGCTTCAAATACTCATTCAGACAAAACAGTTCGACAGCAAGACCGTGTCTTCTACCGAGTAACTGGATTTTCCTGAAGATCATGTTAGCAGCTTTGAAATAATTTTTTTAATACCAAGAAATTCCAAAACAGTGAAAATTGAACATCGATTCGAACTTCGCATCAGGTACAATCTGAAAATCGTGCTGGAAGACGATGTTTTCGAGATTTTCGGAATTCTGCGTCATTTTATTCCTGAAAATCCACGTTGTAGACTGCAACTTGCAGCTAATATGTAGTAAGCGCAGCCAGTTGAAGCAACTCATTCGAAATCGATTTTTAGAATAAATCAAGAAACAAAGAAATTCAGAATACGTCAATGTGATGCTACATGAAAATTGGATAGATACAAAGATTTAAATAAATTACAAGAACACAAAATAACAAATATATATTTAGAAGATCTACAGATTCTCGGTGCCATATCGTAGATAAATGATCTGAAAGTCATAATACTACTAGAATTATCCGCAAACTGAGCTATTACGTTAGTAAAGAACGCTACAACAGCTTCAGGCATATCACCCAATCGCGGTGTCGGTTGTGGCAAGTTGCATTGATGATACTCGTGATATAACTGGACATACTGGAAAAAAATCATTAATAAAGCTTTTTCTACGGTTTACCTCAAGAATTTCACTAAACAGTTCCGTTGGGATATTGCTAGTCTGTATCGGCTTCCCTTCCAGTTCCAAATAATCTCGTGTAATCTGAAAAAAGATCGTTTTCATGAGAACACTATAACAATTGTCTTACCTTTTGCAGATATCTCTTAACTGGCTCATCCATCCGGGCCCATAACTGTCTGACTAGTTTGATGCGCGGGTCTGATTCATCTTCCGGATGTGGACTGCAAGCTTCGGGACTCGCAGTTGACGGAACGTAGCCTTGAAATGAGCAAAACGAATAAGTAGTATCTCCAGAATGAGCGTCTGTTTCCCCTGGCGACTGTGGCGGAGCCAAATGTCCCGACCGGGCCTCAACGTCTTCTTTATCTAGGTCCGATGTTTCTCGATCGTCATCTTCGTTATTTTCTTGGGAATCTAACTGAACGCATTGCGCTTTTGTAGAACCATTGATCACATCTATCATTTTAACCACTTCTCTTGGCGATAACAAATTGTTTTCGGCAGAAGCTGGTTGCGCGTTTTCCGGTGACTGAGAACGATCCGACGTTGGAGAGATCGAAGAACCAAGACCGGATTCCGAAGTGTCAGATGGCGTCAAAGAACGAGAGGACCTAAAACATTACAGTGGTAATTTTGCGTTGTTGGTCTTGAAACTAAACGCGTTACTAGTACTTCCAAGCCTCCTGATGTCGTCGATGAACCACGAGTCGAGCTCGTTCAATGTGCCAGTCATTGTTGATTGAATTCGCTGAAAAAATTCACGGGAAAAGTGGAAGAATGTCTGAAAATTGCTTGTCAGTGTGACGGCTTTTCAACTCGAATTCAAGCCAAAAAGTTAGCGCGGCGAGACCAAAACGAATCAAGCGCTGCGCCTTTAAATGGGTTACGGTATGTTCCAACACATTTTTTTCAAAAGTGAAAAAAAGCGGAAAGCAGAGGAATGATAATACCAGATAATGTCAGGAATGTTCGGAAAGAAATTCGGAATTCCGACAATATTCGGAATCAAATTCGGATCGGAATTATCCGATTTTTTCGGAATTTGAGCAAGTTTTCTAGACTACAGTACGTTAAAGGCGCATGCGAAAAGTTGCCTGGCAAGTTTCGAGCGGAATTACTTTCAAATGATTTTTGTTTTGAAAGCTGTTCGTCAATTTTTCACAATTTTTTCTCTCTTTTGTGATAGGAAAGTGATGAAGAAGACTTTTATTATGAGAGGACAACAGGATAATGTACAAAACAGGATAATGTTCAAAATTTATCACTCAAATTGCAATTCAAAAACTTTAGCAGTGTTGAAACCATAATGCTCTTTGATGACGTATCCTGGAAGAGAGTATTCTGCCAGTTGCGTTTTCGTGAATTTGGTTTTGTATCTGAAATTTTAAAGACTCAAAACTTTGTCATCGAAATTTTGTTCTACTTTTTCAGATAGTCTGATTCGACTAATGGATGGCGATCTGGATCTCCGACAAGAACGATCGTTCCGTGTTCGTCTTGCATTCTGAAAAAAAAAATTAAAAATTTTATTCATTTTCCAATAGTGTACCTCTTCAACCATTTAAAAAGGATCTCGGCAAAATCAGAATCATAGAACATATCTCCAAGAAGAATATACTTTTTCTGATCATCTGAACCTTCGAAAAAGTCGGAGGATGATTTTTGGTCGTCCAAAAAGTTCCTGGCCGAGTAGTGAATTTTTGAGTCTTTCCAATTGTTCAACCGGAAATTTAGTTTTGTCGAAAGAAGAGCATCTAAAGTTACAAACTCAAAGAATAACTAAAAATCTGGAACTCTCACATTTATCAATATCATTTGCTAGAATCTTTTGAGCTCCGCAAATCGACGCAGCCATCGAAGCAGAACCACACCCGGTTCCGAAATCCATAATGGTTGAGCCACGAAACGAACTCTTATTATCCAAAATGTACCTAGATAGTCCTTGTCCACCGGGCCAATAGAATGCCCAGTAGGGATCCGGAAGTGGGCATAAATCAGGAGTACTCATCCAGAGAGGACTTGCAATTGTGATAAGACGAAGTTTCAGTTCTGGAGTCAAACTTTCGTTACTGATTAGAGTATTTCGGATGATCCACTTGGATGCTGCATGGAGACTGGGTTGCAGCATTGTCTGGGGATAAACGAAAATTCAAATCGAGACCGGGAAGTAAAATCAATAAGAAAATTGGGTGGGGAACTACAGTATCAGGGATGTTCGGAATGGCCTTTTTGGTGTTTTTCTATTGTCTAATTTATTGATTTTTCAAATTTTGGAATATTCCATCACCAAAGCTTTCCATCATAAAATAAGAAAATTTATGAAAAAAATGGCAAGAAGATTCCGAAAACGCACAAAAAATAAGAGTAATTCTGCTCGAGACCCACAAGGAAACTTTTTGCGTGCGCCTTTGACATAATGTAGCCTAAATTCCAAAAAAAACTGAATTTCCGGAATTCCGAATTTTATTCCAAACATCCCTGCTACAGTATCTCATTTGAAACATCTGGAATGTTTCGAATTTTCATTTTCTTGGAGTTTTCTGTATATTTAAATGTGTATAATGAAAGAAGTAGACGGTCAAAACCTGTTTACGGTAGATCAATTCTGAAAATTCCAAAAATTCAAACTACAGTAACCTGAGACTTCACCTGGAATAACGAACTATTTAGATCTTTCAAATGTTAAAATTTTTCGCGTTTATCATAACTTTTACTACATTTCATGGAATATACAGTAAAACCCGTAACAGAAAAGTCCCTTCAACTTTGAGCCAATTTATCTCAGTTCCTGTGAGAGATATTTAAAAGTTGCCAACTGATAAAATGTTCATTATAATATTAAAAATATTTTATTAGTTGACAAAATTTTGATATCTTTCAAAATAAACCGAGATACAAAGACTCAAAGTTAAGAGGTCGATAGCCGACCGCGTAGGTCAGCCGGCAAGCGCCGACTTGTCAACTTTGAGCCAGTTTATCTCGTTTCTTGTGAAATCATAAAAAATATCGTCATTAGCACGCTCTCCCACAGAACAATTCCGAACTGCAAGTTAATTTTTGATCTACAGAAAAAAAGTTTGGCGCGATCACAATTGCAGGTCTAAAACCATAATTTCAGAATTTTTTATCTGATTTTGTGGAGTTCCAAGATGATTCAAATGATTTTTAAAAAATTAATTAGTGGTTATAGATTCATGTATGGTCGTTTTCCGGAAGAAAAATGTTAAAAATGGTCATTTTGAAAGTTTTCTACAGAAAAATGTATCTCCTCTTTCAGCTTTTGACATTTCTAGGAGTTCTATAGCTCAAAAAAACCGCAATTATTTTTTAATTTTCTTTGGACGAATTTTAATACATCTTTTAAAAAAAACTTTTATAATCAAAAAACATAAATCAAAAACTGAAAGAGGAGATAGATTTTTTCAGTAAAAAACTCTCAAA